GTTGTAGTGAGTTTACCACCTTCTGAAGATGTACCTGTGGGGATAGGCGAGAGTAGGGAGGTAGAAAAGGAATGTTCTGTTGAGACTGTTTGCACTACCGACATGGCAGATGCAGAAAATCCAGAACCAGAAATAAGGAGATCAGAGAGACCAAGAAAACCTGCAGAACGTTTGACGTATTCAAGGCTAGGTGAGCCTAGTGCAGAGCCTGTAGGGGTAAAGCATAATAGTGTTCATGCAGTTCACTCACCCATAATGCACTTTCTTGAACACTACAATCATGCATGGTGGTGTAACTCTTTTGCTCAATGCAAGTCATGTGTGACTAAGCGATCACTATTTTCTCCTATTATAATACCTGTTATCCCATTGTGAAGGCCCATTTATGGTACATAGTAATTAGTTAACTAGTTCTAATTAGTGTAGCCAGCATGGGGACACGCTGGATTTTTGGTGGGGGGAGAGTGTAGGCACCTCCCAAAAATGTAGTTGAATAAATGGTGTGCTTGCTGCATTTTTGGGTGGATTCATTTGAGACTACATTTCCCATTGTCCTTTGTTTCTGGATGCGTTGCAATTTGTTTCCGTTGGAGTAGTTCAAGCCAATGGGTTGCCTGTTTAATTAAATTCCTAGCCAATCAGAGGTCACCTTTGTTGGGGAGGGGAAAAGAGAAAAAAAAGGAAAGGAGGGGAGATAGCGAACGGAGAGGGAGTGACATGCGGGAGGAGAGCGGGAAAGAGAGAACTGGAGTTTTAACGCAGAGGTGATGTTTGTAGACTAAACTTCTATTACAGAAGTGGCACAACTATCATTTTATTCAGCGAAAAGTCGAGAGCAACTATCAGCTCGATAAATTGGTGAAATGTAAGTTTAGGTGAAGTGCAGCTAGCTTATCTGCGTTTGTTTGTTTTGCACTAGCTTGGGAAAAACAAAGCTACGTACAAACTATAACTCGGGGACGTTAAGCTAATGTCTTCGTGAGACGGACAGCTGTAACCGCTGGCCGCAGTTTCACAGCAAACTGAAGGACTAGGACTGTGGAGAACTGTGCTGAACTGTGCTAGGTAGCATGGTAGCCACGCCTGTTTGAGAAGAGAATCCATTGCCGAACCTGCGTCGCTGAATTAACCTTCTGGAACCTCGCGTGCAGCGGATTCATTCTTTCAGCTCGTGTCCATGTCGGCTAATTCTTCTGTTCCAGAGGCGTGAGTAACGGAGAGGTTTTAGTAGCCGTTTCTTGCTTTCATGCTGTGACCTCATGGTGCAATGGTAGCATGTCTGACTTCAGATCAGAAGGTTGTGTGTTCAAATCTCGTCGTGGTCGTTGAGTGTGCTCTTCTTCGCACAGACCCTCACCCTTCACACAGCATCTGCGTAGGACGCCTTTGTCTAGGTGACTTTAGATGGATCTAAGGTCTTCAAAAGAAGCTCTCCAAGAACAGGGTTGGTGACCACTGGTCTAGGCTATGTTTTTCACAATCTGCTACCCCAGAATGTGCATTGCATGGCTGGTGAAGTAGATGCCTTAACAGGCCATCTAAGTGTGCATGACATCTGAGTAACGCGTAGCTTGATTAAGAACCAACATTCTATGCAGATGGAAGTAGCCATAGCACTGTGGCTTAGTTGGCTAAAGCAACTGTCTTGTAAACCGGGTTCAAATCCCATCAGTGCCTACTACAAGTCTCTTCTCTTGTTGCAAGAGCCATGTCTTTGTTACTTCCTGCCATGAAACATCAGCAAGCAGAGATTGGTTCTGTCACATTGGATGGTGACATCTAAGCTTGATTCTATTAACAGCTTGTGCATTCAGGTCCAGTCATATTTGTTTTCTTTCACAAGTATCGTCTTCAAAGGAGTATCTCCAGGAACAGGGTTGGTGACCAATGGTCTGGGTTATCTTTTTCTGAATCTGACACGACAGAATGTGCATTTCATGGCTGGTTGAGTAGATGCCTTAATATGTAATCTATGTCCGCAAGCTATTTGCGTAAAGCTTAGCTCGAGTAACAGTCAACAATCAGTTTAGAAAGATGGAATTTAAGACCGGTGGTGCTGTGGCTTAGTTGGTTTAAGCCCCTGTCTAGTAAACAGGAGATCCTGGGTCCAAATCCCAGCAGTGCCTGATGCATGACTATAGCGATGTTTTCAATCCCTTTGCTCCAGAGAAGAGAGAACACCAGCAAGCCTTGATTTGGTCTGTGTCGTATTGGGTGGTGGCTTCATGGCTTGATTCAATTACAACCTCATGGGTTCAGATCCTATTATATTTGTTTGCTTTCAGACGTGTTTTGCATGTAAATTTTAACTGCTATCAACAAGAACTGTTTTGTACTTGCTTTTTAACGAATCCTGGAGAAACGGGAGATGCAATGCAGGGACGCAAAATTGCCCATCAATCATAGAAGAGATCCAGAGTGTGAATTTCTTCAGTGCCTGATAAAAGACTCTTCTGTTTGTGCAACTGCTATGCCTTACTTACAGCCTGAGATGACACACCACACAAGCAAGCCAAGATTGGTTCGGTGGGCCTCTGGAAGGTAAAGTCTAGCCTTGACATTGATGCGATTAAAAGCTTGTGGATTCAGGTTCGTGAAAAGGTTGCTTTCTTTCAGACATGTGTTACGTGTAGATTTCAAGTGCTTTCAACAGGAAAACACCTGTTTAGTAAACAAGAACAGGAAAGCGCTATGCCCTCACTGAATTTGGAAGAGCCTGAGATGAAACGGCTTTGCTACTTATAACCTGGGCTCTGTGGTGCAATGGAGAGCACTTGGACTTCGAGGTTCCGCACTGGAACTACTCAAAGGTTGTTCGTTTAAGTTCCTCCAGAGTCATTTGCTTGCACATGGGAATTGCTTGTTAGTTTTTTCGATACCATAGAGGGTATCCTGTTGAATATGGAAATTCCCTACACTCCATTTTAGATGGAATGCTTTGTTGGCCTCAGGTGAAAACAACGTCATCACGTTCCCCATGTTTCTACTCATTTGCCCAAAATGACACTGAAGCTGTGCTAAATTTAAGTTCCTAGAAAATACCCATGCCATGGATTCCCGCCATAATTTTGTGCTCACACATCGCAACCCCAAACTAGCATTCTGCTTAGCAAAGATTAGAAACATGTGCTGTGTACCCTCAGTGCAATTGCTGTGAACAGAAATTTGGTGATATGTGTGTAACGACCATGGCTGGAGATCAGATAGTGTCTCTGATCTGCTGGGGCTTGTCTGCTGTTTGTGGAAATATATCTTGACCTATGTTTGTGGTTTATCATAGGTTGAGAATTCTAGAATGTCTCAAATCAGTGGTAGGAGCAGCATTCTGGCACAAACAACATGTATGCATATGCCAGATCAGCATCTGTGTATGATGCCTATGTCTAAAATACTTTAGCTGGTGCTATGGTCTTCAGAGGAGTATCTCCAGGAACAGGGTTGGTGACCAATGGTCTGGGTTATCTTTTTCTGAATCTGACACGACAGAATGTGTATTTCATGGCTGGTTGAGTAGATGCCTTAATATGTCATCTATGTCCGCAAGCCATTGGCGTAAAGCTTAGCTTGAGGAAGAGTCAACAATCAGTTCAGAAAGATAGAATTTATGACCAATGGTGCTGTGGCTTAGTAGGTTAAAGCGCCTGTCTAGTAAACAGGAGATCCTGGGTTCAATTCCCAGCAGTGCCTGATGCATGACTCTTTGTTTCAAGAGCAATGTCTTCAATCCCTTTATTCCAGAAAAGAGAAAACACCAACAAGCGTGATTTGGTCTGTGTTGCATTGGGTGGTGGCTTCATGGCTTGATTCATTTAAAACTTCGTGGTTTCAGATCCTGCTATATTTGTTTTCTTTCAGACGTGTTTTGCATGTAAATTTCAACTGCTATCAACAAGAACTCTTTTGTAGGTGCTTCCTAACGAATCCTGGAGAAAAGGGAGATGCATTGCACGGACACAAAATTGCCCATCAATCATAGAAGAGATACAGAGTGCGAATTTCTTCAGTGCCTGATAAAAGACTCTTCTGTTTGTGCAACTGCTATGCCTTTCTAACAGCCTGAGATGACACACCACACAAGTAAGCCAAGATTGGTTCTGGGAGCACTTTATGGTAAAGTCTAGCCTTGACTTGGATGCCGTTAAAAGCTTGTGGATTCAGGTTCGTGCTAAGGTTGCTTTCTTTCAGACATGTGTTATGTGTAGATTTCAAGTGCTGTCAACAGGAAAACACCTGTTTAGTAAACAAAAACAGGAAAGCGCTATGCCCTCACTGAATTTGTAAGAGCCTGAGATGAAAAACATATGCTACTTATAACCTGGGCTCTGTGGTGCCATGGAGTTGGACTTCGAGGTTCCTCCCTGGAACTACTCAAAGGTTCTTGGTTTAAGTTACTCCAGAGTCATTTGCTTGCACATGAGTGTTGCTTGTTAGTTTTTTCGATACCACAGAGGGTATCCTGTTGAATATGGAAATTCCCTACTCTCAATCTTAGATGGAATGCTTTGTTGGCCCCAGGTGAAAACAACATCATCAAGTTCCCCATGTTTCTACTCATTGGTCTTCAAAGGAGTATCTCCAGGAATAGGGTTGGTGACCAATGGTCTGGGTTATCTTTTTTTGAATCTGACATGACAGAATGTGCATTTCGTGGATGGTTGAGCAGATGCCTTCATATGTCTTCTATGTCTGCTTGCCGTTGGCATACAGCTTAGCTTGATTAAGAGTCAACAATCAGTTCAACAACACTGAATTTAAACACTGTGGTGCTGTGGCTTAGTTGGTTGAAGTGCTTGCCTCGTAATTAGGAGATCCTGGTTTCAAATCCCAGCAGTGTCTGATGCAGGAGCTTTCTTTTCTTTCAAGACCAATGCCTTCCATCCCTTTGTTACAGAAAGGAGTAAACACCAGCAGGCGCAGATTGGTGCTATGCCCTCACTCAATTTGGAAGAATCTGAGATGAAACACCTTTGCTTCTTAACACCTTTCCTCCTTGGTACCTGGGCTCTGTGGCGCAATGGCATTGGACTTCTAGGTTCAACATTGGAGCTATTCAAAAGTTGTGAGTTCAAGTCCCTCCAGAGTCATTTCAGGTGGAGTGTGTTGCTGATTTTTTCTATTCGAGAGAGGGTATTTTGTTGAATATGGCAATTCCCTACTTTCCATTTTAGATGGAATGCTTTGTTGGCCCCTGTTGAAAACAACGTCATCAGGGTCCCCATGTTTCTACTCATTTGGACAAATTGACACTGAAACTAGGCTAAATTTAAATACCTAGAAAATACCCATGACATGGGTTCATGCCATACTTTGTGCTCACACATCCAAACCCGAAACTAGCATTCTTCTTAGCCAAGATTACCAACATGTGCTGAGTACCCTCAGAGCAATTATGTCAACAGAATGTTGCTGATATGTTTGTAAAGACTATGGCTGGAGATCAGATAGTACTTTGCTTGTATTTTCTCTTTGGTAAGTCGGTTTCGATAAAAGCATCTGCTTAATGAATAAACGTAAACGTAATATTTGATCTGCCGTGGCTTGTGTGCTGTTTGTGGATAAATATCTTGACCTATGTTTGTAGTTTATCAGAGGTTGAGTATCATAGCATTCCTCAAACCCGCGGTAGGAGCCACATTTTGTCACAAGCAACATACCTGCATATGCCAGATCAGCATCTGTGTAGGATGCCTATGTCTAGGCTACTTTAGATGGAGCTATGGTCTTCAAAGGAGGAACTCCAGGAACAGGATTGGTGACCACTGGTCTGGGCTGTCTTTTTCTGAATCTGACACCACAGATTGTGCATTTCGTGGCTGGTTGAGCAGATGCCTTAATGTGTCTTCTATGTCTGCATTCCATTGCCATACAGCTTAGCTTGATTAAGCGTCAACAATCAGTTCAACAACACTGAACTTAAACACTATGGTGCCTGGCTTAGTTGGTTAAAATGCCTCTTTAGTAAACAGGAGGTCCTGGGTTCAAATCCCAGCAGTGCCTGATGCAGGAGTCTTCTTTTCTTTCAAGGCCAACGCCTTCCATCCCTTTGTTACAGAAAGGAGTAAACACCAGCAAACGCTGAGTGCAACGCCATCGCTCAATTTGGAAGAATCTGAGAGGAAACCCCTTTGCTACTTAACATGTTCTTGTTACCTGGGCTCTCTGGGCGCAATGGATAGCGCATTGGACTTCTAGGTTCAACATTGGAGTTATTCAAAGGTTGTGGGTTCAAGTCCCTCCAGAGTCATTTGCTTTCCAGTGAATTGCTGATTTTTACTATTCGAGAGGGTATTTTTTTCAATATGGCAATTCCCTACTCTCCATCTTAGATGGAATGCTTTGTTGACCCCTGTTGAAAACAACGTCATCAGGGTCCCCATGTTTCTACTCATTTGGCCAAATTGACACTGAAACTGGGCTAAATTTAAATACCTAGAAAATACCCATGACATGGGTTCATGCCATAATTTGTGCTCACAAATTCAAACCCCAAACTCGCATTCTTCTTAGCCAAGATTACCAACATGTGCTGAGTACCCTCAGAGCAATTATGTCAACAGAATGTTGCTGATATGTTTGTAAAGACTATGGCTGGAGATCAGATAGTACTTTGCTTGTATTTTCTCTTTGGTAAGTCACTTTGGATAAAAGCGTCTACTTAATGAATAAACGTAAATGTAATATTTGATCTGCTGTGACTTGTGTGCTGTTTGTGGATAAAGATCTTGACCTATGTTTTTTTTTTATGTTTCATTTTTATTGAACATTTCTGCTGAACACTTCTGATGAACATTTCTACATTTCTACTGAACATTTTTACTGAGCATTTCTGCTAAACAATTTTGCTAAACATTTCTAATGACCAGTTCTGCTAAATATTTCTGCTATACATTTCTGCAAAACGTTTCTGCTAAACATTTCTAATGAACATTTCTAAAGTTGAATTTTTATTGAACATTTCTGCTGAACATTTCTACACAACATTTCTACATTTCTATGTTTCTTTTTTATTAAACATTTTTGCTGACCTTCTGATGAACATTTCTGTTGAACTGCTAAGCATATCTAAATCGCCTTTTCTGTTCTGTCCTCCCCACCATTTCCCAAAAATACAAACAAATTGAGCAACAGCAGTAAATATTCACAGATATTTTTTCTTTTTATACAAAGAAAAACAAAACAGAACCCACAACCCACCCCTCCGGCTCATCATGGCTACCCATTAACTGTCACCGGTTATAGAGATATTATAAAATTCAACAACAGGCACCAACCTTTAAGTGGGTAGTGTCTGTAACTCCATAAAGTATTCAATAAAGGGATGCCATTTATGAAAAAAACTTATCTGTACAACCATTCATCGTATATCTTATTTTCTCGAGTTTCAGAAAAAACATCACGTCCTTTATCCACTGAGAGATAGATGGGTATTTAGCAGACTTCCAATGTAACAGTAGGGAACGTCTTGCTATAAGGGATGTGAAAGCAATAACATCCTTTTGTATCGAGCTCAAAGGAATTGAAGCTGGAGGGATCCCAAATATCACAATCAGTGGACAAGGCTTTAAATGTACCCTGAGAATAGTGGACATGATGGTAAAAAAGCCAGACCAAAAACCATGGAGTTCAGGGCAGAAGAAAAACATATGGCCAAGATGACAGGGAGAGCCATGGCATTTATCACACTTGTCCTCTACATCCGGATACATCACAGACAATCTCGACTTGGACAGATGGACTCTATTTAAAACTTTGAACTGTATAAGTCCAAGACGAGCACAAGAAGTGGTAGTCTGTACCCTCCCTATAGCATGTTCCCAACACCCCTCACTTATTTGTACTCCTAATTCCGTTTCCCACGCATTCCTAATTTTATTACTCGACCCACTACCTTGCGTCAAAATAAAATCATAAATCTTACAAATCATTCCTCTCTGATGTGGGTTATTTGAAAACAGGTCTTCCCAAGCCTGTTCAGGAGGAACAGAAGGGAAATCAGGAAAACATCTAGAAACGAAATTCCGTATTTGAAAGTACCGAAAGAAATGTGTCAAGGGGAGATCGTAAGTGGATGCCAAATTGGCAAAGCTATCAAACACACCATCAGAATACAAATTTCTAACTTGTTTAATACCCTTGTCATACCACACTGAAAATGAGGAGTCCATACACGATGGGGGAAATAGATGGTTGTTCACTAAAGGACACAAAGAGGATGCACCTACAAATTTAAAATGTCGTCTAAATTGATACCAAGTCCTAAGTGTGCTGAGGACAACAGGGTTATCAGTATATTGGGAAAGTTTTGTAGGTAAAGAGGTGTAAAGTAGAGCAGGTAAAGAGGATTCCCTACAAGAAGATAATTCCAATTTAGACCAAGAAGATCCAGGAGATTGAACCCAGTAACAAAGTTTATGGATGTGTGCAGCCCAGTAATAGAATTGAAAATTGGGTAATGCAAGTCCTCCCCTAAGTTTACATTTCTGCAATAAAGATTTACTAACCTTTGGTGGCTTCTCCCCCCCCAAATAAATATTCTAATTATCTTATCCAATGAATAAAAAAAAAAAATTGGAAAAAAAAAAAAAATTTTTTAAAAAAAAAAAAAAAAAAAAAAAAAAAATTTTTTTTTTTTTTTTTTTTTTTTTCTTTAAAAAAAAAGTTTTTTTCCCAACCCCCCCTTTTTTTTTTTTTGATAGAAGATTAGATAGAGAACGTGTCACGTTGATACCTAGGTATTTAAAACCTGACTGACTAAATCGAAACGGTAGATCTGACTGTTGGAGAGACAGAGCTGGAGTATTGACAGAAAACAGTCGCTTTTATCTAAATTTAGTTTATAACCAGAGACAACACCAAAAGACTCCAGAACATCCCAGACAGAAGGCATAGAGGCGGTAGGATCAGTTACATACAATAACAAATCATCAGCATATAGCCACAATTTGTATTCTACCCCGTATCAAACTATTCCTTTAAACAAGGAGGAAGATTTTAGTGCAATAGAGAGCGGCTCGATGGCAACAGCAAAAAGCAGTGGGGATAAAGGACACCCTTGGCGACACCCTCGTCCGAGCGCAAAATAATCCGAATAAGTATGGTTAGTCTGAACTCTAGCATAAGGGGTTGAGTAAAGGAGGCTAATCCAAGAAACCAACTTGTCCCCAAATCCAAACTTCCTCTGGACTGCAAACAAATACTCCCATTCAACTTTGTCGAATGCTTTTTCAGCATCTAATGAAATCACAATCTCAGGGTGAACAGCTGAATGCTTTGAATAAATTATATTAAAGAGTGTATGGGTATTGAAAAACATTTGACGTCCCTTTATAAAACCGTTCTGATCTTCAGATATAATATAAGGAAGTACATTCTCTAACCGAGATGCCATTACTTTCGCCAACACGTTTACATCTGCATTCAGCAGTGATAGCGGTCTATAAGAACCACAGGAGGATGGATCCTTACCCTCCTTTAGGAGCAGAGCTATCGTGGCTTGTGTCAGAGTTGGAGGCAAAGACCCACATTCCAAAGATTCGTTGAACATAGCCAAAAGCAATGGAGCTAATTTTCCAATAAACGTTTTAAAGAATTCGATTGGAAAATCTTGACCTATGTTTGTTGTTTATCAGAGGAAGAGATTAAAAAACCTGTAACCGAATTAAATAGAAACAAAAGTCTAGGTATAGATGGTTTGGGGAGTGAGTTTTATATCGCTTTTAAGGATTTTATAACTAGCATCTTAATAGAAGTATATTGAGAGGTTTTTAAGAAGAGTGAGATGAATCAAAGAATGGGAATGGGTTTGATGAAATTGATATATAAAAAAAAAAGGAGAAAGGGTAGACCTAAAGAATTACAGACCGATCACAATGCTCAACACAGATTTAAAGATTTTGGCAAAAATTTTAGCCAACAGATTAAAGGAAGTAATGCAGAGTATAATTAAAACAAATCAAGTGTACGGTGTAAAAGGAAAAGACATAGCAGACACAACAATGAGCATAAATGATATGATCAGGTACATGAAAAGCAAAAACAGAGAAGGCTATGTAATTAGTTTAGACTTTGAAAAAGCTTTTGACAGGGTGGAACATGATTATTTATTTGGAATTTTAGACAGTTTTGGATTTGGAGAGAATTTTATAGAATGGATTAAAATTTTATATAGAGGCGCAATAACGAGAATAAAGTGTAACGGGTTTTTAACACAGTGTTTTAAAATAAAAAGATCCATAAGACAAGGATGTCCACTATCAGCTCTTTTATATTCACTAGTTTCAGAACCACTAGGACTCGCCATAAAGCAAGAAGACAAAATAAATGGAATAGGTGTTGAAGGAAGTAGAGAAAAGGACAAAATATTTCAATATGCGGATGATACTACAGTGATAGTCAGAGAAATGGAGAGTGTTAAAAAAGTCATGGAAATTGTACAGATGTTTTGTAAGGGATCAGGAGGTAAGGTAAATGAAGAAAAAACAGTTTATATGAGATTCGGAGACGTGACAGATTTAACAAATCAATTTACTTTCAAAACTACAGAAATGAAGATCTTAGGTGTTTTAATTGGGAAGGATGAAAAGAAATCAAGCGAAACCATGTGGGAAGAGATCTTAGGAGGTATTGAAAGAAGACTGAACTTTTGGAAACTAAGGACTCTTAGTTTAAAAGGGAAGGTTTTAATCTTAAATGTGTTGATGGTGTCTAAATTATGGTATACTTTATATGTGTCGTCTATGCCGTTGTGGGTAGAACGAAGGCTGAAAAAATGTTTTTAAAATTTTTTATGGGACAGAAAGCCACCTAGAATCGCGTACAATACTCTAATAGGTGCAGTGGAAGCGGGGGGTTTGGGCTTAATGGATGCTGAGCAAAAGAAGAACAGTTTGAGAGTGAAACTAATAAAAAAGTATATGGGTGATGAAAACAAAGCAGCATGGAAAAAAACAATGAATTATTTTATAAACAAATGTGGGAATTTTAATTTGGGGGATAATATTTTATGGATGAAAACAAAGAACTGGATGATGGAAGGGTTACCAGATTTTTATAAGGAAATTATGAGCGCTTGGGGGAAATTCTTATCCAATGTACTTTATAATCCCCAAGGACGAGAAAACATTTTGAATCAGCCGTTATTCTTAAACAACAGCATTTTACATCAAGGAAAAGGGATTTTCTATAAGAAATGGTGGGAGGTGGGAATCACAAGGGTTAGAGATGTTTTATATGAATTTAAAGAAG